CTGACCTTAAGGTTCGCAGCCCGATTCGTAACCACTACGCTACCAGAGCTCCTTAGTAAGTCCTAGTACTTTCATTATATACAACAACACATTCAACATCAATGTCTGGGAAAGAAACTTAGGATGCACTTAACAGAAATGATAGTGGTCCATGACTACAAACTACCTGCCCTCTTATTATAGCCCAGCTCCACAAAGCAGAAATCAAAGACACCAAGATTATTTACTAGGAAGGGGGCAGAATGAAATAGCTTAGATGATAAAACTTACACACTGTATAATTCTTGACAAACACTTTTGAAAGTTGTAATCATTTAATACAAAGTCTACTGTTCTGTGTCCATTATGGATGTGACTATTGTAACAGACGCTAAACAAAGAAATAAAATGTTTATAACTGCTTTATAGATGTTGTTTTGGCTTTAAGTTATTGGAGAGCAGCAATAACTTAAAGCCAAAACAACATCTCAAGTATACCAAAAGAATTTGTTAAGCATCACTAAATGTAATGTAATTTGTACACTTGTAAGGAGCTTGTTTTAAACCAAGTTTATTTTTTTGGTTACATATCAGGGTACACTAAGCCAATATTCCTGAAGAACATGCTATACACAGAGATAGGAACACGGAGAGATAGAGCAGCTGAGGATTCTAGGCTCATGGAAAGAGAAAGATTGAGTGCTGGTGGCTAGGAGGCAGTCTTGCAGAATGTTTTTTAATGGTTGTTTAAATGATTATATAGTCCAGAGAATTTTTGTGTACATCCCCCTCCCAAAAAGCAAAACAAATAGTGTTGAATGGTAATGCATGATGGAGATTGTAATCCTTGCACTGAAACAGTGTAAAACTGATGTTCTCCCCTGAAAACTACCACTCATTTTGCAATAAAAACTTTAAAAAAAAGGACATTTATACATCTGCATCAACAGGATCCAAGTACTGCAGCAGGGAGTCTATACTGTCATATGTTGTTTAGGTTGATACTAACTCACTTAGACATGAAGTCCCATCAATTTCTGAAACTCTTATTTTGCTGGTTCTTTTACCTGGACAGCAGGGGATTGATTATACTGAGGTGGCCATCCTACATCCATTGCACCCATTGTTTCTATGCCTATCTCCTCCACTAGAACAAAAGGTCCAGAACGGAAGGAATGAAGCATCATTTTCTTCCATTACAGAGTCTGTCACATAGTTGTCTATCACATACATATACATTGACTAAACGAATTGCTTCAGTAGCGATGGTAGACCTTGATGCTCCTACATACAAAGTTTACTGAAGGAGCCCTGATGGGGCTGTGGGTTGAACGTGGGCTTATTAACAGCAAGGTTGGTAGATATAACCCACTAGCCACCCCAAGGGTAGAAAGATGAGGTTGTTTGCTCCCATAAAGATTTACAGTACCAGAAACTCTAAGGAGCAATTCTATGATGTCCCATAGGGTTTCTATGATTCTGAATTGTCTTGATGACCATGGTCTTGGATGGCATGGTGGTTAAAAGTGTTTGGCTACTAACCCCTGAAGTTGGTGGTTAAAACCCACCAGTTAGTTATTCTGCTGGAGAAAGATGAGGCAGTCTGTTTCTGTAAAAGTACACAGCCTTGGAAATCCTATGGGGCAATTCTACTGTGTCCTATAGAGTTGCTACAAATCAAAATCACCTTGATGGCAGGGATGTTTAGAGTTTATTTATGTAGTGGTGTTCAATTTTTTCCCTATACTGCATGGTTACAAATATCCCTTTTGTTTTATCCTGAGACATGTCATGCTTAACCAACTTTCAGTCACAATGAAGATGTAAAAACAAGGTTTTACTCTGCTTTAGATAGTTTTGGTTTTGAACAATATTGGTTCAAATCCAACTTAAATCTATATTCACTGTTTGCCTTAACATAACCTAACAAATATATTATCGTCTTTTAAAATATGCTTTAGAATAAATAATGTTTCCTGGGAACAATAAATTGTTTGGATTATTCCTTTATTTTATACTTTATTATAGTAATAGGTATTCAGCATCCAGGGAGTAGAAAAACTAAAATGAAAAAAAATACTTCATTGCCTAGGCATTTTTTTTTAATAAAAAAAAAAAAACCATGCTAAGATAATATGTTCATTTTGCAGTATACTTCAAGGTTTTAATTTTTGAAAATCAGAGCATGGTGGTAATATGACCCAAGTCATGTCTATTGTGTATTTAATTTTATAGCAGGGATGATATCCTAACCAGTTAGCTGACAGGTATGAGGCTACATATACAAGAGAAGAGTATGAAAGAACAAACCTACCTTCATTAAAAGTACAAGGGGCTTCAGAAAGCTTGTGGAAATATTACATTACCTTTTCATTGCATTTTTCTATGAATTTTTGGAAGCTCCTATGTAATGGATAATATCTTATCATTAATTGGGGTAAAAGTTTGCAGGTCATTCATATCTTTCAGGCTAAAGATTTCTTTGGGATTTGTCATTTGGGATTACATTACACTTTTTTTTGTTGTTAACTGCCATCAAGTTAAGTCCAACTCATATTGACCCTGTATAGGGTTTCTGAGGAGCAGCTGGTGGGTTTGAACTGCTGACCTAGCAGTTAGCAGTCCAGTGCTTATCCTACAATGCCACCCCAACAACTCCCAAATATCAACACTAAGTATGGCTGCATATTAACATTCCATTTCTGTAGCATATATTAACAGTCCAGCTAAATACTGGCAGTCCTTGGTTACAAACATCTGAAATTGACTTAGGACCTACGGACAACTCTTTCATAACACTGAGCTTCAATTTGCCCTCACACTGAAATGTCCAAAACAAACCATACTCACTATACATACAGTTTTAAATCACTGAAAAGGCTTCAAACTTGTTTTTACTAAAGCAAGGCTAGAACTATGTGTTCTTGTCCAGACTCACCTATGAATTACACTAAGAGACTTAACTAAACAGCTAAGAACAGATCTCATTTATAACCTGGGAACTGCCTATAACTAGAATTAATAAGATCATGATCAAGCAATCTAAGTTACAGTCAAGTCACAGCAAGAGAGCTACAGCTTTATCATTAACTTTCTAATAGCAGAGAGCAAAGAGATCTCTCTTCTTGGATTTTGAGTAAAAAAAAATTTTTTTTTTAATATAAGATACAGCTATAAAAAAAAAAAAAAAGAGAGAGTGTCTTTAGAGAAGTGTCTTTAATGAAAAATCAGAACCATGCTTGAAAGCAGTGCTCTCAAACATTACAATGCAGAGGAATTCTCTGTTGAGTTTGTCTAAGCTATGAACACTCTAACCCAACATGAGATTCACTGTATACAGGTTTTTTTTGTTTTGTTTTTTATGTTTTATTGTGAGTTGTGTGATAGTTTACATGGGAGAACATTAGTTTTGCATTCATCCTATCATATATCATTTCATTGCCATGGTTACAATCCCCTCCATGCATCATCAACCAACCACCAAAGGGTATACCCTACAAGCCTCCCCCCCCGCGCCCCCCCCCGCCCCCGGTCATCCCCTCTCCCTCTCTGTGTCTAAAGTCCCCAGCTGCTCCATCTCTCCAGAGATTCACTGAATACAGGTTTGAGAGTGACTCCAACAGGCTATGTGAGCAAGCACACATTTTATTGATGCACATTAATTACTGGTTCAGCCTTGATACCTTGATATAAACTTATCACCTTAACATGGAAAAGCAGTTCAAACTCTGTGATCCTTTCATTATGTGTCAATCTAGCCACTCTACTAACAGACAAGGCAATATCTGCGGATACACAAAGTATTTATTGTTCTAAAATTCCCTGTTGTTGTTGTTAGGTGTCATCGAGTCGGTGCCAACTCAAAGTTGACCTTATGCACAGCAGAACGAAACACTGCCCAACCCTGGGCCAACCTCACTATCACCGCACATGCTTTAATTTTGAACAAACAAGTTAAAAGCAAAATCTGCATTCATAGCACAATCTGGAAGAAATGATACCTAATGCAACGGGGTCTGGGTTGACAGGACTCTGCTGTCTGGAGTGGCTACTGCTACTGCTACCGCCCTTTTTCAAGTCCTCTGCGTCACTGTACCGTCGGATCCAGTAATTCAGTTCCTCGCGGTCTGCTTCCTGACACCGCCTTAGTACAGTGAGAGAGCGCCGGGTTTTCTCTACCATGTCCATTATGCAGTTTAGCAGCTGTGTGAAAAACAGAACACGAAAGACCATATAAATCATCACAACGCCAAATAATTTTAGGACAATGAAGGATGATATTTCTTTCTAAGATTTTTTAAGAGTTTGGATTTGAAATTCAGATATAATAGCTAGAAAAAAAAACAAAAAACAAAAACCCAATGCAGACAAGAAGGAAGAATGAGTGGTAAAAACATGGATCATGACAGAGATTTTACCTGAAGGCACAGAGCCTGTAAACCCACCATCCCAAATACTGTATTAAGACCACTGCCGTGTAAACAAAATTACTCATCCATCTCACTTTGAAGATTCTTTTCCAATATCTCAACATGTCTTATGCCTAAGTGGTCTTAATATCAATTTAAAACTCCAAATTTATCTTCAAACATTTTCACTTATTTTTTTCAAATAAAGAGTGAAAAACAGCACTGTCAAAGCATTGCCAAGCTTTCATTTTACCACATAACCTCACTCCAGGTGTTTTTCAAAAGATTTTTTAATCTGAATGATTACCAACGTCTTACATGGTCAAGATGTTTCCATTCTTCTGCCCATTCTCTGTCTGTTAGTCTATGATCAATCATTTCTTCTTGACGTGTGCCATGCAACCCTACAACGTAGAGAAGAAGGCTGATTCACCTTAAAGCATTCAGTAAACAATGCACAGTCACAGAGCAAGACTACGTGGCAAATCAAAACACTTGAGAACACATTTTATCTTGGAGACATGAGTCACACGCAAAGTAAGAATTTGGGTTCCTTGTTTGTTGCAGTTATTAAGTGCCATCAAGTCGGATTCGACTCATAGCGACCCTGTGTAGGGTTTACAAGGTGTGGCTGAACTGCCAACCTTGTGGTTCAAACCGACCTTGTGGTCAAGTGTTTCATCCCATAGCACCACACCAAGACTCCTCATATAATGATAAAATGCTAAACTTGGAAAGAATTTTACTGATGACTTGTTTACAATTTTTCATATTGTACACGAGGAAATGCAAGGTTAAAGGACACCATGTCCAGGGCTAAGCATCTATACAACACTTTCTAATATAAATATATTTTAATTTGTTTTAAATATTTTACTTGTACTGTTGTTGTTGAGAATATACACAGCAGACCATAAACCAATTGAACAATCTCCACATGTAGAATTGCGAGACATTGATTATATCCTCCGAATTGTACAGCCATTCTTACCCTTCTTTTCTGAATTCGTCCTCCTCCATCAATCTAAACGCACTGTCCTCTAAGTTCTCTATTTAACCTGTTGAGTTGTTGTTGTCAAGTTTATCTCATATTTGGTTGGTGATGGGCCATGGAGTCAGTTCCAACTCATAGTGACCCTGTATAGGGTTTCCAAGGCTGTAAATCTTTATGGGAGCAGAAAGCCTCAACTGTCTCCTACAAAAACACTGGTAGTTATGAACTGCTGACCTTGAGATTTTCAGCCTAACTCATAACCACTACGATACCAGAGCTCCTTTTGATCTCATATAGTGGTGATGGTTATGTGGTGGTTATGTGCCGTGGAGCTGGTTCTGACTCATAGCGAGCGACCCTGTACAGGGTTTCCAAGGCTGTAAATCTTTACGGGAGCAGAAAGCCTCATTTTTCTCCCATGGAACTGCTAGTAGTTTCGAACTGCTAACCTTGAAGTTCGCAGCCTGATTCAAAACCACTACACTACCAGAGCTCCTTCTATAGATCTCATATAGGTCGATCTTAAAAAAGTACAATGCTCAATGTAGACAATTTATAAGTTAAGATAAATTATCATAATCCAACTTCAGAGGAATTTTTGTTTTGTGTTTTGTGTTTAAGGTTTAAAAATTATCTTACGGCTTTATCCATTGCTGGTGGGAATGCAAAATGGCACAGCTATTGTGGGAAACCGTGTGGCAATTTGTCAAAAATCTAAGAATAAAACTACCATAAAAGCCAAAAACCAAATCCACTGTCATTGAGTCGATTCTGACTCTTGTCCCAGAAATCCCATGCCTAGGTATACACCCAAAAAACCTGAAAGCAGAGACTCAAACAGACATTTGCACACCACTGTTCACTTCAGCATTATTCACAATAGCCAAACGGGAGAAACAACTTAAATAGTAATAGAGAGATGAATGTATAACCAAAACTGGGTATATCCTAATTCTTAATACAAAAAACCACAACTACATATTACACAGTTGCAAAATAATGCTTTGCTGATTAAAAAATCACGAGCGCATAAGGTATGTTTTCCATGGGTAGAGAGAAACCTGATAAAATGTATTCACATTTCTGCAAAGTATAAATGAATACAATCTTAATAGATACGCAATGTACCACCATGATAAAATGAGACCATGAAGAGAGCAGGCTGTAATAATATAAAAATAATATATGTCCTTGGAAACCCTATACAACGGCTGCTTTAAGTCGGAATTGACTCGACAGGACTCAGCAACAACAACACACTAAATTTATA